TTGCTGGAACGATTCTCTTGGCCTTGGAAAACGCGATAGGGGCCATAATCACCTTTACTTCATTGGGTAATGACATTTATTTACTGTTTAGTCCTTCTCTCTCTCTCTCTCTCTCTCTCTCTCTCTCTCTCTCTCTCTCTCCTCTCTCTCTCTCCTTCTCTCTCTCTCTCTCTCTCTCTCTCTCTCTCTTTCTCTCTCAACAATTTCAAAAGAAATAGCACCTTATAATAAAGAAAAAGGCTAATAACAACTGTAACAATAACACCGGCTTTTCTGTGACTAGGCCTGTTGTCCTTCGGGCTGGTGGCGGCGCTGCAGTGGTTCCTGTCGTCCTGAGAGCAGCTCCGCGACCCCGCCTCCGCCCTACAGAGTCTCGTGGTGGTTCCATTACCGGAGACGGTCAGCCTCGAATGCGCGGATTCAAATGTTTGCCTTACACGAACGCAGCGCTCTCGATCCGTCGACGCCCTCGAATGTCTCTCTCTCTTCGGTGGGCGTGGACGTGAGGGAGGACGAGTCTGGTGGAGGGGTAAGGACGGCCGATGGGCGCGTTTTCATATCTCTTCCAAATATTGACGACGAAGACCCGCCATCTTATGAGGAGGCAATGAGGGCTTGTGCAGCAAGTAACTTATGACGTCATCGTGGTGGCGTCGTTGAGCTATATGATTTCATAAAATTATTTTCTGCTCGTTTGTGTTGTAAATGTAAAGTTCACGATATATTTATGATCTGTATATTTTCATAGACTGTATTGCATATCACTTTTTCGTTCTTTATCGTTTCCCCATATATTTTCGTAAATTTACACAAGACGCGTAAACATAATTAATTTGGTCAACTGTGCCACGAAATATGTAACCATCATTGGACAACATATTGATTGTAAAAAAAAAAAAAAGAAAAAAAATGGTTCAGATTGTCTTCTTAATCAGTTTTTCTTCATCAACTTCATATGACAAGACAGCAGTATGAACGCTTTACCAGCTGTTCACACGATATTTTGAACAGCGGCGGCCACGCCTTAATTTCCTTGGCGTTTAAGGCATCCACCGTCAGATTGAATGTGGAAGTCGTGGCTGTTGCATCGCCGTCCGAATCTGACAAACAGCGACAAAGACAACATTGGGGTCATCCAGTTCTACATGATAGATTTTACATGTTTACAACTTTGTACCCTTCTTTGAGAGAGCATGACTGAGTTTTTCAATTATTTGAGAATGTCAGTTAAATCATTGGGCGATTTGCTGGAATGAATCAAGGACAAATTTTCAACCAACACTATAGTGAAGGATTTCTGTCCAGAACAGAAACATGGCATGACATTAACGGAATCCTTTATGATAGTCCTTTATGATACAAATCCGTTTATATATAAACCTCACCAAATAGGCTCCATGTGACAGTGAAGGGGATGCAGACAAGGGGACATTTTGACGTTCTTTCCAGTGACTAATCACGGAGAAAGTCCACGTTGTAATCAGGGTTGCCATGGCAACGCATAGTCTTTCTCTTATTGACTGGCATACAGTTAATGATGGTGCCTGTTGACCTCAATACGCGACAGACCGCTGTGTGAACAATGACAATAAGTGTATGGATCCCGACGCGCCCGCCGACCGCCGCGCGAGGGGGATCTTGCAACCGCAGCGGTCACGTCTGAGTGATTCCTTAGAGAACCGCTGACTATGCGACGGCGCGTTTCCAACCACGAGGTAGCTCCCGCCTCGTGTGAACAGGCTTTTAAAGATGAGATACCAATAATAACAGGTCCTAACTAAAGATAAAAAAGGCAACTAGCAAAGCCACAAGCAAAGCAAGAAGACAAATGATATAATAAAAACGAAAAAAACGGAAAAGAATTAGCGCGTAATAAGGTACATTAATTTACATAATCCTGCTCCCCATGAACGATAACTAAGTTTACGTCCTCACTTCTCAGGGACGTTGTATATATGGATGGGTAGAGAAAGAGAGAAAGAGAGTGGTGTGTGTGTGTGTGTGTGTGTGTGTGTGTGTGTGTGTGTGTGTGTGTGTGTGAGAGAGAGAGAGAGAGAGAGAGAGAGAGAAAGCGAGAGAAAGTGTGTGTGTGTATGTGAGGGAGAAAGAGAAAAAGAGAGAGCTAGAGTGAGAAAGAGAGAGAGTGAGGGAGTGAGTTAGAGGGAGATAAAGAGAGCGAGAGAGAATGAGAATGAAAGCATAATAGCCTCCTCTCCTACACCCCAACATTTCTGCCAGTGTAGTAGTGACTCAATCGATAACTCACCGTGTGCTCATTCCACTTGTGCAAGTTGAAAACATGGTGATTAATATTTGCCTTTCACGGTTGATGCAAAGACCTGAATTGGAAGTGAATGGAAAGGGGATACAGAGGCAAAAAATAAAAATTACTATACAAGTTATGCAAATGTATCCACACAGGAGGTCATCTGCTTCAATACAGCACTCATACACAATTTTCTCTAAGATATTTGTAGAAGGCCTACGTATTAAAAAAAAA